TGAACGTTGGATCGTTCCTTGTGCAATTCGAGCTGTTGCCTCTCACAATTCTGGAAGAGAGACCGTTCTTGAAGAGGATGTGTCAATATATCCTGTGTGGACATCACATCTCATCCCAGAGAATGTGGCAATGCAGCTTGGAGGAAGCTTTCACATGACATCGCTTTCCAATATTGAGTCAATCATGAAACTGGGAATTGTCCCTGGTGGAATGGATGGATATAGAGGTAGTGTTTTCTTCAACCACTTTGCGCCGTGGGATGATCGATCATCAAAGATTCTGAGATCAAGATGGCCAAGAGGGGGAATGCCCGTTTGCCTTTATGTTCCAATCATGACTTTGAGGAAGCTTGGAGGAAGAATTTCGGAGAATTCCTACACTGTTGTTTTTAGAGAAGTTCCATGGAGATGTGTACGAGGTGCTTGGTACTGGGACGACCACGGTCAGGCATGGAGGAGACTCCTGCTGGGAAGCACTGGAGAGCAAGTTGTTCTAGCGGCACGTCATGGACTTTGGGTTGCTCAGAAGCATACCATCCTCGAGAGAGCCGACGAAGTCACGAAGTCAGCCTCGGCAACAGATGACAACGTCCAAAAGCTCGTGTCCCTTATCGATGAAGTACGATTCGATGACAATGGAGAGCTGTTCGAGGATTCCATCAGTGAGGAAACTTGGGACGAAATCATCTCCAGAACATGTGAAGGGTATCGCAACGTGGATGGCAATATTTTGTGTCCATCATGTATGCATTTGACTTCTTCATCTTTGTCCGTATGCCTATCTTGTCAAGGCAGGCTACTCTCGTGTGGCATTCGCAACACTGTCATTTCCGATTCACCCGTTGATCTTGTGAGCGACGATGAAGAGGAAAAGAAGGAAGAGAAGAAGCCTGAACATGATGATCAAGATATATTGGACCAGGCCACTATGGACGAGATCAGAAAGGCTTGGGAAGAAGACATCGCTCAAACTGAAGCAGCTGATGACGACGAGGACATGGACAATCAAGATCCTTCCAAACCGTCTGATGGTGCAGAGAACCTCAAGAGTGACAATGTCGAGACCCCATCCTTCAATGAGGACGAGATCGACTACGGTCGTGATTCTGATCTAGAAGATGAAGACGAACGAAACGTGATCATCGAGATCCAGAGGAGCACACAACAATATGAGGGGAAGAAACGTCAAGATGGTGAGCCCGAGGATGAAGACGTCACCGACGACTTACATCCGGAGGCGAGTCGACCGACAGATCGTGATGAACCGGGATACTATGCACAGCATGGAGCGACCGAGTTCAATCCCGAAGAAGGAAGAGACAACGAAGATCTCCCCATCTATTGTCGAGTACCGGAACCTCGAATCTATGCGCATCAAGAGAGAGCCTACTGTCAGGACGTCTCCATGAATGCATCGGGTTTGATGGATAGGTATGTGGTCAAATGTGTGCTGAACATGATCTCCCTGATGTACAAGAGCTACTATTGCACCAGCCTTACCGACTTCAAAGCAAATTGGAAAAAGAAGCGTCTGGATGTGATAAGCAAGTTCGGTACAGGAGATTCCACTGAAATCGATGACGATGGGAGACCATTGGATCCAACAGATGACATGATGTTAAACTTTGCCAACGACAACAATATTACAACTGAGGAGGCCTGGCACCGATTCAGAGGAGAGCAATTCATTTGCAAGGTAGCACTCATGATCCTATCATTTGGTCATACTCCGAAATCCTTCAAGGAGGAATATGGCAACTTCGAATACTCCACCAACTTGACTGATGCACAGCTTGAGGAGTTGAAAGCGAAGAAAGCCAGTGCAATGACTGAATTGGTACAGAAGTGCATCCATGCGATTTATGGGTGTCGGACATATTCTTATTTTAGAACCGACATTACATCACCCTACCACAAGGTGATCGATCCTCTGGACATCATGTACTCGAGAATGAAGAGCAAGTGGGAGAAGTCTATTCTGTTGATCGTTGATCAACATGAGATCAGGTTGCCCCCCACAAGCTCAGGAAGTCATAGAGTCAATGGCCAGAAACCCCAACGTTGGACATACAGAGAGATGGATGAGCGTGGTAGAACACAAGCATGTTCAAGCTCTTACCAATCGTCTAGGCTTTGGAGATAGGGCCAAGGAGATTCAGGGCAAGAAGAAGCAGGCAGCCAAGGCAACTGCTAAATCAACATCTTCGTCAAGAGCTGAGGCAAAGCCAGCATCTACACCCAGAACCGAGGCCAAGCCGTCGTCAGCACCAGGTGAGGAGCCAAAACCTTCAGCAGCACCTAAGAGTTTCGGGCCCTCATCAGCAGAGGAGAACAAGGTGAAGGCTGCTCCAAAAGCCAGACCACATGATAAATCACCATCCAGTGCTACCGATGTGTTTGAGCAAGCTTTGCAGGAAGATCTTGCCGCCAACACACATACAGCAGAAGGTACAACTTCTTCGTCATCCCGAGGACATTCCAAAGGAGGAGGCCAATCTGGAACATCTTGGAGGCCGGCGCTAACGCAAGAACGTCGCGAAGTACCTCAACCTTCTGAAAAGGGAAAGGGAAAGAGCAAATCCAAAGGAAAGTCCAAGAAGGGAGAAGATGATCGGTGGGATGCTCAGGGCAGCTGGGATCATCGTGGATGGAGAGGTTATCACCAGTGGTGATTTCTTTGAACGACTATGAGGATACCATGCAAACCAGGGAGGAAGTCATTCACCGGATGTCTATCTGACCTGGAACGCTGTAAGTGTATCATTGCAAATCGTCAATTTGATTTGATACCATGAGCATAATGGAAGGAAGACAATCACCGACTGTCTCTCCGACTTGCCGTTCTGTAAGTGTATCCAAACCAAAACCTACATCTTTTGAGAAGTGTGAAGTCAGTTGCCGATGTGACATCTACGTGGAAGTCACCAGTTCGGATCTACATCAAAGCGAAGCTCTTTTGAGTGGATACTGAGCGAGGCCTCGTGACTGTCTCACTTGTTCAATTCGATTTTTTTTTCAAAGGTTCTGAGCCATAGTTGCACACTTTATATGTAAAAGTCCGCTTTAGTCCAGCATGTTCCGTAGTATGAGCCTCATATGAGTCTCGCGGCAAATCATACAATTTCTTTGTAGCACTTACATCCCTAAATTTTCGTGTGTGATCGGAACATATTGTTGCCGTTCACATGGGGGGTGCGAATGGAAGTGCAGTGACATGTACAGTGCAACATGTACATATATATATGTATCATATGTACTTTGGCTCAAGGATCAAGCGACTAGAAAAGGTGCGGTTTCCGTTCCGACGCTACGCCGCTTATGGACCGTCAGTGATAGCTTCAAACTTCGCTGATTAAGATCCACTCGCAGTATAATACAGATATATTTCAATAAACTACACTTAGATTACAGATATATTACAATAAAATATAGCTATATTACAGGCATAATACAGGTTTGGAAATCTTGGGTCTCCAAAAAAACACAAAAAAATAACACAAAATATTTCAGAACTCTTTCTGCAGAAGCCCCAAGTTCAAAGACCTCTGGAAAATTGTGTTTGTTTGTTCTTTTTTTTTTTGAGATCCAATACTTGGGGAAATACTTGTGTCAAGCCAAAACTAGCAGATGAAGAAGACAAGTCTGATAACTGAGTACAACTCAAAAATTGATGAAAAAGTGCACTTCCACAGCCTGCCGGACTCTTCTTTTTTGGGGGGGCATTGTTTTCTCCACTATATAAACCCCAAAAATAGACCAAGTTTTTACAATGGGTGAAGATGATGAATGTTCACAGAGAGAATCGGTCATGAGAGCAAGTCAGGTGCTCCACTGAACCTGTACCGAGGCATTCCTTGATGCATTCGAAGCTCTGGACTCGTCACTGGCCTCACCTTCGCTGCTTGGTGGCGCGCTTGGGCGCCATCCTCCTGCCTTCGCCGCCGGACCAAGCGCCGGTGCCTAGCCCAGACCGGGGCAACGGAGTCGGGACGACGGTTATGATGGCCTTCCTTTACTGCCTAACATGGGCCGTATCAGATGGCCGATGGCCGCAAGTCGCGCTATGATGGCCGTATCCTGGGCAGAATTTGGCAATCACGTGATGTTCGGGCGGGCTAAGTGATTTTCGCTAGACCTTGTTCTTGGGAGTGGTATGGAGTGGTGTAGTTCTTTTCTCCTGGATAAGGCTTTTCGTGTTGTTGTCTCGTGAAATAGTGTTGCTCCTTAAACTCACGCTGCACGCAGAACTGGGTCAAAAAACAAAGCTCCCAAGCCCTCCTGGAAAAGCCAGGTGTTTTCTT